TCTTAAGAAATACTGGGCATTTAGAACAAAAATCAAAATAAATACAGAACCACATTTGGTGTGGATTTGTGTTTTTAAGCCTAAATGATCTTATTGTATACTTCCAGTAATGAGAACATCTGACATGGCTTCCAAGAATCCAAATAGAACGAGCCTCCTACTAGACTCATAAATTAGCAACCCTTCAAATTCGACTTTGTGCATGAGCGGTCAAAAGCAGATAGCAGTGAGTTAAAGTACAAACAAAGTGTTACTTCAGCAAACTTGCCTAAGTAACAGACGAACAGGAATGCTATCAGGAGACTTAAAGCTTTGACCTCACAGCTTGTCATTCTCAGGACCAAGCTTTCCTTTTTTAATTTAAAATGTATCAATTTCACATACACAACATACTTCAACCTGATCTTCCCATATTCTGCCTCCTTCCTTCACCCACTGCAATCATGCTATTACCTGATGCCTTATAAAAGGCATCCTCCTGGCTCATTGGTTCCGTGCTCAGCTGCTAGCCGCAAGGTCAGTGGTTTTAACCCACCAGCTACTCCAGGGAAGAAAGAACTAGCAATCTGCCTCAGTAAATATTCAGCCTAGTCAGTGCTATGGAGCAGTTCTACTCTGTCTGATAGGGTCACTATGAGTCGGAATCAGCTCAGTGTCACACAACAACGGCAGCCGCAACATACCTGGTATGTGCAATCACACAGAATACCAGGTCTCAGTTCATGGATATTACCAGGGGGGCGGGGGGAAGGATTTTCAGCATTTGTTAATACGAAATAGTTTACAATGCTTGTTGAGGAGGATAAGTCAGTTCTCAAATTAACACGCAACATCCTCCCCACCGAACAATAGTATGTAAAATGTTATTTTATCTGAATGCAAGATTTGGTGGGGATTCTGGATAGTATTCTCCATGTTCTTCCAAATTCACAGCCCATCCTTCCCCACTCTGCCCTTCTTTGCCCTGGGAAGCTGCCCTGTGTGGTCTTTGCCTCCGGGCTTCTGGTTGGATTTGGTCAGTAGGTGGAATCGGCCCCCACAAAACAATCAGAAGAAGAAGAAAAACCATCAGAAGACTAGAAAAGAGTAACCTGGGGTGTTTAGCCCCTGACTTCCTTCTAGCTGGGTTGGAAGCCGCTAGTTCCTCTCCAAAACTCCCTGGTTGATAGCTAGGTCAGGTCATCACGTTCACCTTTTCTCCTTCAAACACAGAAGCCGTATAACCACCCACGTTTCTATCCCAGAAGTTTCGCCATGCTTCCTTGCCCAAGCCCTTTATGATTAAATTCTCTATAATCTTATCTCATTTCTGAGCCGGTTTCTCAACAGAAGTCTACCTGATGAAGATAAGATAGCTACTGTTGAATCCTCCAATGATTTGATCAAACAGAGTGTGGTGGGAGCATGCCAAACAGTCATGGAGAGAACAGAAATCCTTAATCTGGTCCCAACCTTGAGATGACTGAGGGAGGTTTCATTCAGGGTGCAGCCCACACTTAGTATAAATCGGCACTTAAATCTGACCCATCGACTTAGGCCTGATGAGACTTACTCACTTCTACAACTGTGTGAGCCATTTCTTGATATAAATATCCTCCTATATACTTGTGCAGACGAGTGCTCCTGGCTTTGCTTCTCTAGAAAAGCCAGCCTGACACAGCGAGTAGATGGAATGAGCACTTATTATCACACAAATAAAGCCTATTCAAGCTTAAACTCGGAGCAGCACAGACAAAAGGAGCTTCTGTGTTTAGTCCGGTCACCGTTGTTGTTAGATGCCATCAAGTCCGTTCCAACTCATAGCAAACCCCCCTGTACAACAGACTGGAAGTGTCCAATATTGTACCATCCTTGAAACTGTTGCCATGCTTGATCTCATGGTGACAGCCATTATGCCCATCCATATCGCTGACCATCTTCTCTTTTTCCGGTGGCCCTCTACTTTACCAAGTACGATGACCTTTTCCAGGCACTGTCCTCTCCTGATAATATTTCAAAGTACATGAGACAAAGTCTCACGATCCTAGCTTCTAATTACACTTC